CAATTATTTAGCTGATGGAAACATAGTATCATAAAAATGTATATTTACGATATTCTCAAGGATATGGATTGTATACTTATATTTATGTGTTTATATGTTTCTGTGTATATATATTTGTTTAATCTATAACAATGGAAGAAAAATTTGTTTTAGTTAAATAAGCCTTTGGTAGTATACTGTAAATTTGAATGTCTATTTACAAAATTATGTGAAAAGAAAGCTTTAATATATAAATAGTTGAGAGAGTCGTTCTTCAGCTTTATATAAACTGGTAGGGTCAAATATTTGGGTTGGAAAGAAGATATAGGAATGCATCTCCCATATTCACTAATAGGTCACTTAGAACTTGGGCTTGAAGTGGCTCAAGAGAACACACCTCTTGCTTTCATGGAGCCCTGGCACCATGTTTTTCCAGTTCACTTCCACTATATTTCTCTAGTCGCCTACACTGAATTCCTTCTGAGGCTAAACCATCTGCTTTCTGTCTGTCTCTTTTTTTTATACACACACACACACACACACACACACACACACACATTCTCCTCTCCCCCTTTTCCTGTCTTTTCAGCATGAGTTTTGGAAATATGGTCCACATATTATGTTTCATAATTTTTCCTAGAGAAAAATCCTAAAGAAGAGGAATTTTAGAAGGGGCAAGTGAATCTTCCTCAGCCAATGGACAGCAATAATCGTGTCAAATCAATGTTTATGGAGAAAGTTTGACATAAAAATAATGTTCGTGCTTTTCACAATGGTCAGCTATCTATCTCCATTAGCAACCTGTGACAAAATGGCCCTAGAAATAGTCATATTTTCTTCCCACCTTCTTCTTCAATGACACTCAATCTGGGACCCCTTCACAGAACTTGTATACAATGACCAGTGAATGGCAGACAAATTGACAATGAGATTGCTGCCCTAAGACATCTCCCACTTCCAGAATCTCGAAGGTCATTAAGCCATTCATGTGTTTGGAACCCTCAATCCTCAGTTCAATTCCTTTCACTGTTCCTCTGTGCTTGGGAGTAAGATGTTTCAAGTATGCAGGCAGAGACACCTTCCTCAGAAATACAAGCCGACCAGAGAGACAGAAATAAGATGACTGCTTCCATGCATGAAATACATCTTTGATTTTTATATCTCCCTTTTGTACTATAATTTGAGATTAGCCATGGAAGAG